GCCAAGATAAAATCAAAAAATGATGCAATGCAAGGCCTCACAACTCTTACAATAATGTTTAGGTTTAGAAGGAAGGATTGGTTCAAGGTGTAAACTGTCTCATAATGATGAGGATCAGCTACTTAGATCAACAAGAGTGGTAAGAAGGGAAGAAGATGATCCAAGTATGTGTATGGTTAGCCATGTAGACACTCTCAATACACAAATAAGATAATTTAAAATAAGATTAAGGTTCTAATAAAATAGAGTTGGAATCAAATCACAGCAAGCTTCACCATAAGTCAAGAGTGTCAATGCAAGAATTCAGAACATGGTGCAGCCTTAACTTCAAACTCACTACTATGGATTCAGACAACAAGTAACCATGGAATTGAAAACAAATCAAACATGGGCATCTTAACAAGTGTTTATGATCTACTCCCTATGTAAATGTGTGCAAAGCTATATGAAATGCATCTAGACTCAACCCTAAATATGTAAATGCACCTAAATGATTCTTTTTGGTTTTAAAAATTTTAATTTTTTTCTGATTTTCTCTAAGAAATGCATGAATGTATGGATGAGACTCAAGTATGGAAAAAGGAAAAATAAGAAAACAAAACACAAAGTCAAATGCAATACCATCCCCCACACTTGAATTACACAGTCCTCTGTGTAATAGGAGTTATAGAGGAGGTACAAACAACGATAAATGATGAAGGGACAAAAGGCAGTGCAAAAGAAGTGAATGATGAAGAGTTAGGGAGACTTACAGCTGTTTTCGTAGCCGATATCGGGGTACAAGGTCGATATGGTCATCGATATGCTTCCAAGGCGGTGGGTATCGGGGTGGGACATCGATATGCTGGTCGATACTCTCTTGGGTGACTCGTATTGACTTGAGTAGCCGATACAGATGTCGATATGCCTTGACACGTTTCTCAAAAATTGCCATCGCCCTTTTGTTAAGGCATATCAACATAGTTGTCCCCGATACATCGGTCGATACACTTGTGCTCTTAGTGTACCGGTGACTTAGGTCGATACACATATCGTTACGCATTGCCCCTACTTTGTATCGGGATGTATGTTGTCCGATATCCTGTTCGGTATATGGACAATGAAGGTGTATCGACTGGTGTGCACCTCTCTACTCTACTCGATACATCACTCGACCTTGTGTATCAATCTTGGTGTGACCGCTACATTTGTCAATACGTGCACCATCATGGTGTATCGGATCAGTTACATCGATATGCAGGTCGATATAAGATCCTTTCCTATGTATCGACCTCCAACTCATCCGATATACAGATCCATATAGGCACAAAGGCACCCAATATCAGTTGAGTGATACCAATACGTACATCGATACCATTTATATCGAATTGATTCTCATCGATATGCTGCCTGATACGACCCTCCTTCGAGTCCATCTGCTTTTGTAACGCAGCTGTTCGTTCCTGATCTTATCCCAGGTGCCTAAGGATACTCCTGGAAACTAAAACAAACAAGAAAAACATGAAAAAACAAATAATTTAGACAGGGATAACATGGGAATACCTCCCAAGATTGCTTGTTTAGAGTCACTAAGCTTGACTTTTCTTGCTCCTTAGGCAGCTGGAGGTTCTTGGAGGTAAATGTATGTATCATTTCCAAGTGTGTCACTGGCCATGTAAAGCTTCAGTCTATGCCCATTCACTATAAAGTCTCCTCCTTTTGGTTTGAAAAATGTCACAGCTCCATAGGGAAGTGCTTCCTTGATCTTGAAAGGTCTTGTCCATTTGGACTTCAGCTTTCCTAGAAATAGCTTCAGCCTTGAGTTGAATAACAGCACATTGTCTCCAGCTTTGAAGTCCTTAGGCCTTATCCTCTTATCATGGAAAGCTTTGGTCCTCTCCTTGTAAATCCTAGAGCTTTCAAATGCCTCTAGGCGGTTTTCTTCTAGCTCATGGAGGTTAAGTGAACTATGATTATAATACCTAAAGAGACATCAAATGAACTAAAGCAAGCAAAGCAAGACTAATAAACTAAGGCAAGTTTGAATTCAGACAATCAAAAGACTAGTAGGCTTGAGATAGGGTAATTGATAAAAGGAGACCTTCAGCTTAGCTAGTGATGCTTACAACCCACAACAAGCTATTCCTAGGCATAGAATTAACAGCTATAATCAACACAATTCCTTGGCACTAATCACTTTGCTAAACATGTATTCAAGACAATTTCCATTACGGGAATAGATGGTCAACAAGCATTAAGAGCAATTAATCCAATTCTATATTGTCAATCTACTCCTTAGACATCTAATTTCTTAGGCTAAGATAAGCAAATCTCTTACTTGATTCATTCAGGCATTTCATCAAAAACTTATCAGACATAAAAGAACCCTAGGATCTAGATCAACTTATCAAGGGCTAATCTTGCATTAAACACAATCAATAAGAAGGAACAATAACATTAAGCTCTAAGAAATCACTAATTAAGCCTCAAATCTCCGTATCTCTATCCCATCTCAGACCCTAAGCAAACTACTTACTAATCATGGTGTTAGCCAAAACCCAAGGTAAAGGAGACTGACTAATCATGATCAGAATGAAGATAAACATCAGATTTAATTGAAAGAACAAGATTCAGAACAGAAATTACAAGGATTCAAGGAAAAACAAAAAGGATAAAGCTAATCTCTAAAGGATAAAGATGAAAAGAAGATTCCCCTTATGTTTTTGGGTCACAACATATATATAGTTTTCAGGAAAAACTCTTAGTAAACAGGAAATAAACCGAAAAATAGCTGGTTCGGACGCCTTGTATCGGCCTTTTACATCAATATGCTGATCGATATGTTTCGGTTGAAGGTTGTATCGGTTTGTCTCCTCGGTATGATGGTCGATACAATCGTCCTTCAAAACTACATCAATACTTTGCTCGATACATGTCATGGCTTGTGTATCGGTTTGCTTCACATCGATATGTAGGTTGGTACAGATGTCTTAAAGATGGTGTATCGGTTTGAGCAGCTCGATATCCTTTGACTTGTCCTGTCCCGTCGTATCGACCTAGGACCTCGATATGCACCTCGGTATGACTCCTTGGCTTGTATTGACGTATGATGTCAATATGTTGCTCTGTATGCTCTGTTTCGACTTGGTAAGTCGATACACTGCTCGATATGGGGCCTTCTTGCCTTGGTCTCTTCACCAGATCACTCCCAGAACTTCTCTCAGCCCTTAAACTCCTTCATTGCACCTGCCAAGTGCTCAAAATGCACCAAATATGCAATGCAACTCCTAACTATATTCTAAATCCTAAATGGATACAACTGAGACATGAACATGCAAGAAAGGGTGTTTAAATGCTGAAACTAATGCTAAATATATGCATATAATGTGGTAATTATGGTGTATATCAGTATTCCTCCAAATGGATGGAGAAAGCTGGCCACTCGGTTGGGTTAGACACCATCTTCACCAGTTCCGAACAGTCTGTTGCAAAAGTCACTTTTAAATTCCCAGTATCAAGCATACTATTCATTGCCCATATCTTTGCTTCTAATTCGGAGTGTAATGGGGATATACTGCACAATATATTCTTTGCACCCATCAATATAGTATTCATGCCCGCTTCTTGACAATATCATCCAAATCCTGTACTGATATTATGTTTCCATGATCCGTCTGTTTGACATATTAACCCGCTTATTTGTACCTTGTTGTGTAAGTATTTCCTCAGTGTCGTCTATCTGTGCTAATCCCAGTATTTCCTCAGTGTCGTCTATCTGTGCTAATTCTCATGTTTTTGCTTTTGCCATTGATATCTCGTAGATTCCTCTCTAAATCTTAAAATATCTTATAATTCCTTAATTTCTAAATATACCATAAGAGTTAAATGTATACTTTCATATCCTCGTGGTTTCAAAGATGTCAGAATAAATGTATCATATTTGTATCGAGATCATTCATCCGAAAACCATATTGCAGTATAAAGAATGGTGAGTTTTATATTATTTATATACCAAAAATAATTGAATTTTAATAAGAGTAAAAAAAAAATTATGAGATAAAATAAGAATAATATAGTTTTATTAAAAAAAACCTAACAAACAAATAAAAATATATAAAAATTAATGCATGAAATAGATTATAAGAAGAGAAATTTACAAAGGAAGGCACTTTGCCAAACTGAATTTATAAACTAAGGCAGTTTGATGAACTAAGGCACTTTAGGTGTGTAAAAAAATGTTTTTACCCTTAAGTGATAATAATTATTGTGGACGAGTGTGCGTGGATGACAACAACTGCTGTGGACGAATGTGCACGGATATTATAGACGGATGAAAATACACAGATGTTATGGTTGAATGTTAATGCATGGATGAATGTGAATGTGTGGATCGCCAACACTATCATACCATCACCAAAGATAAATGGATGAGAATAAATGGATGGGAATATGTAGATGTTATGGATAGATGTGAAAGTATGTATGACACAGATGGATGTAAATGCGTGGATGGCACAGATGGATGTGAATGCTTTATCAAGGACAAAATCGTCAAGGTATGATAAAACAGTAACCCACAAAGTGCTTCAAAACCTTTAAGAGCATAAATATGTAATGACTTTCTCCAAAGTATCTTTTTGTAAGTGTTTCTTATAAGAATGATCAATAAAAAATTTAAAAAAAAAATAATAATAATCAAAACAAAATATGTGCATATTCTCTCCTGGAAATCACTCGAATCATTAAAAAATTATAAAAAATATCAAAAATTAAAGTAAAATTTTTTAAATATATTAAAAATACCAAAGAAAGAAGAGAAAGAAAGCTATTGAATTTGCTTCGAGAGAGAGGTATGAATTAGCTTCGAGAGAGGTATTGTACCATAAATACAGAAGAAAGGATCAAATGATTCACAAATTAAAATAAAATCCGCGTGTTAGCATAGATTCTCTTCTAGTTTTTATAATTGTAGGAAGAGAACGTGTGCTTCATTCACTAAGCCACTATGAACTAATTATTCATTTCTCACATTTTATTTTCTTGTAAGGTATGCTAAATTATTGACCTCTACGTAATGATTTACTATAAAGTTTATTAGATAGAAAGACAACAATCCATACATGTAACATATAACACTATATGGTGAAAATAAACTAAAAACAAAATGAAAATCAAAAGAGAAAGTTAACAGAGAGGAGATCGTTGAGGAATGCCTTTGCGCCGATTGATGCAAGTGGAAATATCGTCAGGATCATCAGAAATTACTTTATAACTATTAGCGGATTTGGTACAGAAGCATAAACCGGTCCGCTTTTTCCTCACGACGTGGGTGGTGGTTGCAGCGTCTCGTAGATCGGAGGAAGTCGATGACCAGCTCATGGACTCATCACCGTCGACCACCGTAGACCGGGGAGTCTCGTAGGCATTCACGTCATCATCCGCGGGTAAGTCTTGTGGGATGATGTAGTCAGGACCTAGGGTTAGAGTGTGACATGGCTTTAGGAATGGAGTTATGTCCCTGTAACGTTTCATCACGAAGTCCACCTACATGTATATCAAACAAGACCTTTTAATTTAATTAATCACATCCTTTGAAGTATATCTACCGTAAAATACTATACATGCTCAAATAGCTTAGATGTTTACGACTATGTGTGTCATTGTGTATTCACGGTATATTTTGATAACATGTTATTATATTTTACAAAGTACAACATTACAGGGATTTGAACTGTGATGGTGTCCGAAAACACTTGGGACCAAGCCACTTTCTCACATGATATTGGAGAATTTATCCAAAAAAATAAAACCATTGTTCTAACAGCAAGGTATGAATACTGTGGACATATAAATAGAGTTATATTATAAAAACAATGTAGCCTACCCATTACGGATTTTCTTCATTTTCTTAATTAAATACATTAGTTCGAAGCGAAGATTTTAAAATCCAAAAACATATATACAATAATTGGCTTATCTTAGCTATCCTATAATTTTTCGAGATCCTTTAACGAACTTTTCTCTTCTTTTTTTCGTATATTGAGATTCTAGTCGTTGAACACTAACAAAATTGACGGATTTAAAACATTTTAACGGATGGTCAGTACTTTAGGTAAGTTACATAATGTGGTAATTTAATAATCAAAACATAAATCAATTCAGGAAATAATGAACTATAAATTTGAGACTATGGCAAAATTAATGATACATAAGTATATTTATATTTATATATCAACTCACTAGTTTTATTAAGTGAGAATGGAAGAGAATCAGATGATAAACAGAATTGAGTCGAGTATTTTCTTTTTTTCCTAGGGTAATATATATATTTTGTAGGAGTAATAGTTAGGATGAAATAACCTTACAACCCAAGGAGCAATGGATAAAGGGTTCTTGAAGACTTCGGTCACATGAAGTGCAATAGTTGCCAGCTCCTTTGAATTGTCTATTCTGTGGTCTTTTCTTGATGAAAACAACTTTTGCACTATTTATTGTATAAGCCTGTCCACAATTCACCCCCAATCAATATATATATATATATATATATGACGAAAATATATCATGTATAATAGATTAAGATTAAGAATACATTACTAACTTGAACGTTAGAGCAGTCAATGAGTTTCTGAAGATCTTCAAGCCTAACAACATCGTGATATACATAGCGGCGAACTTGGAGGAGTCTATGATATCTATGTGAGGGTACACAGTGAGGGCAGAGGCTGATGCAACAATCAAGACAACACACGTTCTTCTCGTTCTTTTTTGCCGTCTCATGGTACGGACATCCAACAAAGAACTTCTCTGCGTAAAGCGCATCCAACCATGCCGGTTTCTGAATTCCCTACCACAAAACATTTACGCAATCTCTAAATTATGTAAAATACACACAAAAAGCAACTGCACACCATAATTCAATTCTTTCATACATCCATCATTAATATCTGTAGAAGGCACCAAGGATTCTACACATATACAAGGAGCTAAGATGAGGATAACGCCACAATTATAAGGAATTGGGTAATTGATTGAGAATCGTATAGTAAAGGAAAGAGGTGAAAGTGAGAGATTCATTACTTAAGCTGGTGTGGAATTGAAGAAACAAGAGTAAATAAAGTTAACCTACCATGAGGACACAACACAAAGTAAGCTTTGGGAGATGGGATTTTGGCCACTACTCGCTACAAAGAGTAATATTAGGAAGAGAGAAAGGTAAGTGGGGTTAGAGATGATAGGATTTATGGAGGATCACAAGAGTGATGAAGGTTAAAAAAACGATTATATATTTAATTATTCCTCGAAGATATAAACTTTTTTACACATTTAAATTTCATATAAATTTTAGTTTGTTGTTTATTAGTGTTGGTGAGATGAGAGAAAGAGGGAGAGAGAGAGAGAGGAACGTGGGAGCTGTTTCCGTGTCTCCTACTTTTAACATATATTTATTTGGTCATCTCCTTGGCTTAAGAGCTCAATTAGGTTGAACCCTCCCTTAAAGAAGCTGCTCTACTCCAAAAATGTAACTTACCAGTTTATCTTATAATTCTCTTTTTTATAAGATCTACCAAATAAAGGAGATAAGTGGATGAATCCACCAATTCGATGTTTTAGGACTGATTTTGATGATCATTAGCCAATCGACGAAAATACAAAACTGCGTACTATGACATATCATCGGACCAAGCATTGCCAATTGTGCTTATCTATAAATAGTTAGATAGGCCAGTTTTACAAATTCAAATAAGGTTAGAGATTCTTAAATTTAGATTAAGTAAACACTGAATATTGATTGACTAGTCAAATTATTGCCTGATATAAAGATTACAAGTGTATGCAACCTAGTTGGGATAAGAAAAATAAATATATATTTTTATTATAATCTTTGAAGTTCAACCCCTAATTAAATGCTATAAGCATGGTTAAGCGGATGACTATACAGATATATATATTTCATCCGCTTAAGGATGCTTATTAAATTTAATTAGGGTACTTATATCTTTTTTTGGGTTATGAACAGAAAGGGCACAAGTATCTTATGAATGTAACTTAGGGTAGTATTATCTAATAAATTACTAATATTATATATTTTGGTTCAACCAATTTAGATTTATGAAAACTTAGACACCGTCAAATTCTTCATGTGGTATATTAAAAGCACTTATTTTATGCCTGATTCAAAAAAAAATATTCAGTTTAATAGGAGTAGAAATGTACAGAGCATATGGTTAATCATAATGTTAGTAATTTATTAATTACAATAACCAAGGAGAAAACATCAAGAAAAAGATTCTTCTGTCTTACGCCAACTTGTTCTATTTAATTGTCATATAGAAACGTCTAAATGGTGCCGGTAAAAAAACGTATGAATGGTACTTCTTGTTCTGCAGACAATTATATTTAATATGTGACCATATTAAATATATATTATGTATGTGTCTAATGAAATTAAGAAGAATATTTTGAAGTGTACTTTCTAAAATTTAATTTTCATAATCGTTAATTCTACTTAATAATAATTTTTGAATCTTTACTTTTAGAAAAAACATAATTTTTTACAAAACAATCTTAAATAATATAGAATTTTTTTTATAAATAATTGGTGACAGCAACCACAATTTATAAATTATCAAGATAGAATTCGATTTAGACGATTTAGATAATCTCGAGGTTTGAGACCTATTTCCTATATTAGTTTAGGTTTTTTAATTTGAATATTTGCGAATCATTGAAAACTATTTTGCTATCTCTGAAATTAATAGACTTTTTAATGATTTTCACAAATGATTATACTCAAAACTTAATTGATTTTGGATAGACTTGAATTTCTAGAAATTATGCAATTCCCATCACATTATGAGATTTTCGAGTTTGATTCTGGAGGTAACCATGAAAATGTTATTCAGCCTCAATCCGGCATCCAAGGTGAAGAACATATTTCGGATACTAGAGTAGTTATATTTTCATGGTTAATGGTATATGTCATTTATTCGGCAAAGATAACACTTACCATGTTTGAGACGGTTCAGCCTGACATAGTTAATAATGACTATTGGGAATATTGATATCAAGCATCACAACAATTTCAATAGCATTTCTGATTTTTTTTCTGGTGACTCTTGTGTCTCTCAGCTTCTTTGATTTTTGGTTTCTCTGCTGTTGAAGCTGATAAAAACATTTCCGATGAGAAAATGGAGACAGCTGATGTAGAATTTACTCTACTTTAATTTTTACATATACGCATAACATTGTAATATGTAGATGTTAACTGATAATTTATTATTTTAAACTGCATTTTATACATTTTTTCCTCTGTTTTTGCATTATAGTTTAGCATTTTAGTATTATATGCACTTTGAACTAACATGTAATGCATTTAGCTTAGGATTGCATATATTTGCATATATGTGCATGTTTGTAGTAGTTTTCAGGTGTTTTTGGAGTTTCTTGGAGTTGAGAAGGAGATGGAAGTAGCTCATGGTCAAAAAAGATGTCAGAAATGAAGCTCTTGCAAAGTCTGGTCCATATCGAGCAAGCATATCGAGTAGAACACCTGTGAAGTATGCTCGATGCAAGCAACATGACGAGAGGAAGAGGATCAGCACGAGGATTCTAAGCTGTTGGTCTGCATCAAGGACCAGCATCGAGGAAGAAAGCCGATGCGCACTGCACGGACCATATCAAGGTCGTATATCGAGCAGAACATCGTACGTACGACCTTGGTGCAACTTATCCACGCATTAACCACTTTATTTTCTTTGACCTTATCCCAATTATAGGTTTTTTATGCTTTTTTTGGTTCCCTTCTATAAAAGGGAAACCACAAAACTTTATCTTTATCCAAGTTTAGCTTTTTATCAAAAACTCTTTCTTCTCTAAACCTTAAAAGGCAATTTGCCTTAAGGATCTTAATCTTTAATAAAGTTTGCATTTTTATGATTTAATCTTGTCTTTTAATCTTTGTTCTTGCACCTTGGTAGTTTAGATTTATTATCTTTGCATTTTAATGTCATCTAGTTATGTTTAACTCCAAACAAATGGTATTAAACATGATTAGTGAGTAGTCTTCTTTAGATTTAGGGTTGATCTTAGGCTTGCTAGAACCAGGAGAGACGGAGTAATAATTTCCAAGTGGTCTTGGGTCGAGAAAGGGGCTGAGTTGGGCTGTGCAGCTCGATATCTAGCCTAGTCGCGAAGTTGTCTCTGAAACAAGTCCACATACTTGTAGGATCAATAACTTCCAATCTGAACCTGATATAAGATCAAGGGTATGATCTTATATAACCGGTACAATAAGGAATCAAGCAGCTGGCCACACGGCACTCTCTACTTAGATCTGGTACGTGATGAGTGTTATGGTGGGATGGTGATCAAGCAACTGGTCAAACGGCACTCTTTACATAACCAAATGGATGGGGCGAATGATGGATCGAGTGACACACACACGGCTGATGATTGAACCGTGATAAAGTCAGTTTGAACTCAAGAACAAGGGGGAAACCTCACAATGCTCTAGAACTCGGCGGCGGCTTTCTTTGAAGAATGTTCGTTCTTTATTGATAATAGGATAAAAAGTGTGTCTACAATGCTGCATGTGGGACTTTATTAATAATCCGTCAACCTTGACCTTCTAGGGTCGAAATAAGAAAAGAAATGCAAGGACTAAAATACAAAAGTGCATAAAAAAAAGATTACAAAAACTTGTACTAAAGAGTGTAAAAGAAACTAGAAATAAAGTCCTGCAAAACAAAAGGAAAACACAAAATATTATGGAATAATTGACAAGTTTCTTACTGTTGCCTCTTTATTGATTCATGCCCAAATATGGTAAGTCTTTGTCTCCACGGGTGCTCCTAAACTTGGTCGTTTTGATGTGGAGCGATGATGAGAAGAGTTGGGCCGAGGCTGTCTCTTAGTAAGGGCCATTCGTCTAGGCTGGAGTTGGCCTTGAACGTGGCTGGGCTTTGTACGTCTTGGAATTACTCTAAGTGTTGCCCCATTTGCTTGTTTAATCCTTCGGTACGTGGTCCCGTAATGCTCTCGACCTCGGTACGGGGGTGGTACGTAATATTCTCGACCGCGGTACGGGGATGGTACGTAATGTCTTCGTCCGGTCCCGTAATGTTCTCGTCCTGCCTGGTTATGTCCTCGTCTATTGTATTGATAATGAGCTGTTGGAGTAAGCAATTGATGTCCTCCGTCTTCTTGAGGTTGAGAAGGCTTTCTACTGCTTTGTTGAACTCTTCCCTCATGGTCCTTGTACCCGAGCGAGTCCTTGGTGGTTCGTACATAATGGGCATCCGGTGCTTCTCCCTTGTGAAGTCCTCATCATTCCCACCCTCTTGAAGAGGTTCTGACCTCAGAACCGTTTCATCTGCCTCAAAGGGAGCTAAGTCAGTGACATTAAAACTAGAAGAAATGTTCATCTCACCTGGAAGCTCCAAACGGTAGGCATTGTTGTTGATGCGTTCAAGGACTTTGAAGGGTCCATCTCCTCGTGGTGAAAGCTTGCTCTTCCTCTGGTTTGGGAACCTCTCCGGTCTCATGTGTAGCCAAACCCATTCTCCGGGTTCAAATATGACTTCCTTTCTGTTCTTGTCAACGTCCAGCTTCGTTTGTAATGTCTTCTTTTCCAAGTTCTCCTTAGCTTTTTGGTGAAGCTTCTTGATCAGCTCGGCTTTGCTCAAAGCATCTTGGCTTGCTCGTTCTGCTGGCGGTAATGGTGCAAGATCTAATGGTGTAGTTGGCTTAAACCCATAAACAATCTCAAAAGGTGAAAGTTTAGTAGCAGAGTGGGTGGCTCGGTTATAAGCAAATTCAACATAAGGAATGCAATCAAGCCAACTCCTTAAGTTCTTACCAACCGTGGCTCTTAAAAGAGCTGATAGTGTGCGGTTAACCACCTCGGTTTGGCCGTCAGTTTGGGGATGGCACGTCGTAGAGAACAAAAGCTTGGTGCCTAGCTTCCTCCAAAGTGTTCTCCAGAAGTGGCTCAAGAACTTTGTGTCCCTATCCGACACAATGCTTCTCGGTATACCATGTAGCCTCACTACCTCTTTAAAGAAAAGATCAGCGGTTTGAGTTGCATCATTGGTCTTGCTACACGGTATGAAATTGGCCATTTTTGAGAAGCGATCCACCACCACGAATATTGAATCCTTGCCTCTCATCTTGGGCAACCCTAACACAAAGTCCATAGAAAGATCTTCCCAAGGAAGGTTAGGTATAGGCAA